CAGGAACTATAATGATCATATAATTCTGGCACATTTAAATTTATATGGAAACAAAATTTAGCAACAAGTAGAAAACCAGGGTGCTAATATGGGATACTTTTCTTCATGCTGGTATATTTTCAATAGTAATGTAGCCTTTGTACTGAGACAAATTTTCATTGTTATTTTTAGAAAGATTTTTTGCTAAGAAAAAATTAAACATATTTACATATTTTTCATTTTTATTTCATATTTTCTTTAAAGAGTGCTTTCTCAACCATTAATATAGTTATTTCTGGGAGAGACTTTCATATCTGGTCAATGTCATTAATATTATTTTGTATTTTTACTTGGAATAAATTAATTTTATGATGCTAATTCTTTAAAAGTTTATTTTTTTCATTTTCAGTTATTTTTGAAGCTAAAACCTTTGTAATATTGTTACTAAAGTGTCTAGTTTTTGAAATGCAAAGCTTTATGTATTAACTTGCTGATGTGGTTTACAATAGTGTGGCAATGATGAAAATGGTTATATAAAGTGATTGGAAAATGTAATGAATAATTGGGCAATAAAATGACAGAATGAAGCAGAAAAATGTGATATTTTGAAAAGCCTTTTCCTTTATCAAAATGATTTAGGGAAATAATAGGGATGTCACAGTACCAGTTCACTGTCTAGATTTATACAACACCAGTGCCGATGAATGCTATTGCTATTATAATGAACTAAAATCTACTGAAATAATGGGTTTATGACTGTCTGTTCAGCATAATGCTCCATTGCTTTTTTTTATCATGAACTTATTCAAATTCTTCTTTCAAACACTGTCTGCAGTTGAATGTCCTAAAATCTGCCCTATCCCCTTTCAATGTGTTCTGCCACCATATTTATTTATTTATTTATTTATTTAATTGTCCCCTTTCTGAATAACTTCCCTTCTTTCATAATTTTTCATTGATGGCATGGAACAGACTTAGAAGAAGTAAACATGTTAACACAGGTAACTACATAATTTTTCCAGTGGAGTTACCATGTATTATTGGTAGCCACTTAGTTAATGCAAAATAATGTGTGTCATTTTCTGGTAGCAATGAAGTAACCCATATCACCCCTATATGTGACACTTTGTTCAGCTCCTTCATCTTTTTCAATTTTTATTTGCTTTTCTTTTTGGTCTGTCTTTTTAGTCTCTTGCATATATAGCACCCGTGGCTGCCATGAAAGTGTCTCTTCGCTTTCTCTTCCCTGCTGCTCACCTACCCTTCCCTTTCCCTATTCTCCCGGCAGAACCCACATCCCAGAGCCAGTGACTCTTTACTCTGGTGTCTAAAATAATCCAGATTGAAACTGGTGTTGCGTAAACAGGGCATACAATGACCTTCTCTGGAGAGATCAGTTATTTCAACTGGTTTATTGATGACCTTTCATAACTAATTTATGCTGGTGTGATAGAGGTCACCTATAACTTGTAGAAAGAAATGTGTCCAGAGTTGGGCCATTGTGTATATCCTCTGTGTATTCAGTTCCATACGTAATGTATAGACTAGATCGCTAGAATAGTGAGGTAAAGTTTAGACTAAAATTAGGTACTACCGGTTGGAATATATACAAATTGCAAATATAAAGGAGTTTAAGGATTGAAGGGGGGAATAAAAGAATTTCTTAAGTGGTACAAAGTTTATGCTTAGATTTCTGCCTACATGCTTGTGTTTTATAGCCTCCTAGCAAGGCATGGGGTAAAATAAATTGTATTGCAAATATGCTGTTAGCAAATAACTTGCTGATTTCACTATCTCTGTTAGAGTAGTTTTTTTAAAAAAAGCGCGTAACTGGGAAAAGCTCCCATGTTAATATTTCAGTATTGTGACATCTCTACTTGCAAGATATGAGTGAAAGATTAGTCACAGATTTGTACAAATGTCTCTTTTGTTTAATCTGGCTTGTATGTAGTTGCTTCTTACACTGGTTTGTATGATGTCCGTTGTTTTTTTTTAAACCAGACACACTTTCTTCTCAATCTCAGCTGCTATAGTGTTCTATCATACCACAGAGTATTTTATATTCATGTTGGTGATTACTCTATACCCCAAATGGATAGCTGGTCAGGAACTATAATGATCATATAATTCTGGCACATTTAAATTTATATGGAAACAAAATTTAGCAACAAGTAGAAAACCAGGGTGCTAATATGGGATAATCATTTCAGCTATTTTTTCCTGGATGTAGTTCTGTTGGGGTATAAAGTAGTAGGTATTTGTAATTTTGCTGTCGAAATAATGGACATAACTTTTAGAGTATTCACAGCTAAGATCTCTGTACTTGTTTTTCAGCTAACTAATTTTAAATGTACTGTATCTTTTATTACATGTTCTCTTGGATTGTTTTTGCTAGTAATCCTAACAAGGCTTCTACTTTTTTGGCTTGGACTAATGCTTGTATGGAACTGCAGTACTGTGACTAAACATGGAGCTCAATGCTGCTATTGCTTAAACTTTGTAGTTTGGACTTTATTTTTTCTGTAATAACTTATTAAATCTAGTTGTATGAAGTACTGACACTTGTCATCCTTTGCATATTCTAAGGAAAGCTTGGGAAATGTATTATGGGGATATAGGCTAGGTTTTAAAAATCAGAATTTATACTAAAAAATTCTTTACATTGATTAGTTAAGCAAAATACACCTGCTCCCATGCACAAAAACTATGCTTGTCAGTTTTTTTTTCTTTTGGTGTGAGTTCCACTTAATCTTTTTTTCCCCCTTCAAAATGCAAGTTAATTTGAGCATGTCTGAAATCTCCCAAAATCACTCTTAAATTGAACATTAAGGCATTAATCTAATTAAACGGAAGATGAATATAGAAGTTTTACTTTACATGAAATTAGTATAAAGGGTGTAGGGCTTTTTGAAAAGGCAAAACATAGTTAACATTTGACTGTATTGGTATAAATTTTGTTTTGGTACCAAATGAGTCAGGCAGAACAGATTTTTTTCATCTCCTCACAGAAATGTAAGTAAGCAGAATTAGTTTTTTCCCTAGAAAAGTGATTGTGTATTTCAGTAGTCAAAGTTTTTGATACTTATTTCTGTCAAACATGCTTGGGAGCATACAAAATGTGACAAAATCCAATTTCTCCCATATCATGGAGTTTATGAACATGCCCAAGAGGTAAGTATAGAGTAGTTTATGAAAAGCCTGTTTGGCATTTTTTGATGGGAATAAATTTTATCCAATATGTTCCAATGCTGTAGAGATTGGGAAAACCTTTAATAGTGTTCTGTGAGAAGCTATAACATTGGCTATTTTATAAGAACCTGAAAAAGGTCTCCTTTTAACACCTACCACTTCTAGGAGTTTCAATCTTTCACAATACTACCCCAAACACCTTAAAAAAATAAACTCTTGAGATAAATTCAGAGAAGCCAACAAATACTAGATGTTTAATTTCCATTGCACTTGCTTTGTCTGGAGCTTCACACAAGCCACATGCTAAAAGTTGGACTGATCAACAAGAGACAATTCTATTACTATGTATTTAGTTTGTGCTTTGTATTTTAAGGATAGGAGGGAGGAAAAATTAAGCAAAATAAACAATTAGAGCAATGTAAAATATTTCTTTAGAAGGGACTCTTGCTCCTATCTGGTGAACTCAACTTTGCACTCCTTCAATCCAGGTGCAGCCTCTATGCAGAGCTGGTCCCCCTGTGCTAAGTTAAAGCTGCCTGAAGATTGCTGTATTTTATACCAGTTGCAACATGCCATAAGGGACCAAAATGCCACCTAAATCCTGCGATGTCAGCAGCAGGAAGAGTGTGTGACATAAGAACCACTACTCTGGCTCTGTCACCACCTTCCTGTGGTTGATTTTCTATAAGAAAAGCACAATACCCTGCTAAAATTATCTGCACTAAAAATTACAGGATGACTGCACTGTGTATATTGTACTTGATTGGAAACAGGCTGGGATTATAGATGGAATAAATTACTGTATTATGAAAGGGAATGCAAAAACCTGGCTGGATTACTTGGGCCAGCTCGGTATTCTATATTACTACCTCACTGCATTATGGTAGACTATACCAGTATGTACCCTTGCTTAGCCACATGAAAATAAATAAATAAATAATTTGCAAACAAGACACCATCAAATTAGGCCTGAATAAAAGCCTGGGAGTGGATGGGTCACTACAAAAAGTAATTTTCCCTCTGCTGATACTCTCACCTTCTTGTCAACTGTTGGAAATGGGCGATGTCCACCTTGATTGCATTGGCCTCATTAGAATTACAAAGGTAATTTTCTCTCTTGATATTCACCCCTTCTTGTCAACTGTTGAGAATATGCCACTTCCAACTTAAATGAATTGGCCTCGTTAGCACTGACCCCCCACTTGGTAAGGCAACTCCCATCTTTTCATGTGCTGTAATATATATACCTGCCTACTGTATTTTTCACTCCATGCATCTGATGAAGTGGGTTTTAGCCCACGAAAGCTTATGCCCAAATAAATTTGTTAGTCTCTAAGGTGCCACAAAGACTCCTCGTTTTTGGGGTTTATTTATGAAAAGAAATGGCTCATTCTGGCATACCAGGCAATAAGCAGAATACTCTTATGTGAAAATGTTTGAAACGTATAATGAACAGCCACAGACACTGGTGAGAGGAATGTTCAGACACTGCTCTTTCTCTAATACAGTAGAGAGGTTTTTAATAGCTCTGACTGTCCCCAGTAACTGAGAAATCCTGGTAATAAATATTTTGCACT